ATACACGTTTAGATTCAGCATATCAAAGAACCCCATATATTCAATTTTTGTTGAAATCAAACAAAGTTTAAATACTGGACCCTATCTTGGACCAACTTGAAAACTGGGCCCATAATCAAAAATCTAAACACATGTTTAGATTCAGCAAATCAAAGAACCCCAAGAATTCAATTTTTGTTAAAATCAAACTAAGTTTCATTTTGGACCCTTTGGACCTCAATGTAGACCAATTTAAAAAACAGGGCCCAAAGTTAAAAACCTAAATACACGGTTAGATTTGGAATATCAAAGAACCCCAATAATTCAATTTTAGATGAAATCAAACAAAGTTTAATTTTGGACCCTTTTGACCTCAATATGAACCAATTAGATAACGGGGTCCACAAATAAAAAATCTAAATACATGGTTAGATTCAGCATATCAAAGAACCCCATATATTCAATTTTTGTTGAAATCAAACAAAGTTTAATTTTGGACCCCAATTTGGACCAACTTGAAAACTGGGCCAAAAATCAAAAATCTAAATACATGTTTAGATTCAGCATATCAAAGAACCTCATATATTCAATTTTTGCTAAAATCAAACAAAGTTTAATTTTGGACCCTTTGGACATTAATGTAGACCAATTTGAAAACTGGACCCAAAATTAAAAATCTAAATACACTGTTAGATTCGGCATAACAAATAAATAAATGTGATCAAAGATTTTACAAATCTAATGCGCCATACTGTGCAATTAAAGATTACTTCTTGAAATTTTTCAATATTTGAAATTTGAAAAAAAAATAATATTTGAAGAATAATTCTTTTTAATTTCTGAAATCTGAAATGAGAAAAAATTGGCCCCCACAATTTCTTTTTATCCCCCCCCCCCCTTTTTCCCCCCAAAAAATTCTTTCCCTCAAGATATGGTCATAATCTCAATTCAAATTTCCAATGGAGTTGGCAACCATAATTACCCATTTAAATTTACCATAGTGCTAACTTAATCTATTTTATAATAGAATTAATAAAAATATAGTGTCAAATCTTTCATATGGATTTTTTTGTAAAAAAAAAGATGAAAACATTTGCAGATATTTTTACTGGTCTTCCTTTATAAATATGCATTTCTTTAAACATAAGTTAAAAGCAGTGTAAGGGAAGTAACCAAAACGGATTATTTGGATTACCTCCCTTACACTGTTTTAGATTATCTTTATTGTTCATTAACCATTACTTTATACATAATTTAAAAGCAGTGTAAGGGAGATAATTTCAATGATGTATTTGATTTATCTCCCTTACACTGCTTTAAATTATGTTTTGTACTAAAGTATTTGTCCATTAACCAGGACAACCTTGTTTTTCCCCCTTTTTTGCCCCTAATTCCTAAACGGTTTGAGCCATTCCCCCCCAAAGCAAATCCTAACCATCCCTTTGTGGTATGGAAACTTGTAGTATAATTTCAGAGAGATCCATACACCGTTCCACAGTTATTGTCTGGAAACTAGAAAATGCTCATTTTTGGCCCCTTTTTGGCCCCTAATTCCTTAACTGTTGGTACCATAACCCCCAAAATCAATCCCAACCTTCCTTTTGTGGTATTTAACCTTATGGTCAAATTTCAAAAAGATCCATTCACTTAAACTAAAGTTAGAGTGCGAAAACCAATATGTATTCGGACGACGACGCCGGACGACGACGACGACGACGACGACGCCAACGTCATACCAATATACGACCACAAAATTTTTTTGCGGTCGTATAAAAACATTAAACAGGAGAACACAACTGTTTTGATAGCAGCTAGTTAGTGTTTAGCCATAGTCTAATCAAAATCTGCAATAACTGATCTTTTGAGCCGAAAATGACATCAAATGTGTCATTTATATTCAAATTAAATTTATGTCAGGTTCGATTGATTGTTGATTGCTTAACAACCAGTGACAAATATTTCATGCATGTTCAGGACAAGAACAAACGTCAGGTTTGAAGGTTACTATCATTGTTCAAAATAACTAGAAGTACCAGTGGTAAATTTGTCTTTTAAGATTTAAGTTTAATCTCTCAATGATAGTTTATATATATATAATCAGCTTCAATGAAATAGTTATAGATTATCGTTGGTTATCTCAACGAGATTGATTTTCTCGCTTGAGCCGGTACGGCGAAAGCGAGAAAAACAATCGAGTTGAGATGACCAATGATAATCTGTTTATCGCTATTTTACCTATGAAGACGTTGTTAATTTCTTTGACAACGGCACATCTTCCCTTAGTTTCTAGCGATAATTTTCATATCACTCGACTCCGTTTTCATATTACTCGACCCGCTGAGAACGGAAATTATCAGTCAGCAAGATCAAAGGAAAAATTCGTAAAATAGCGATAATATATAAATAACACTTAGCTGAGAGGGTGATAGAGCAGATTGTTACCCCCGAGGAAACATTGTCAACTGAGGCGAAGCCAAGGTTGACAATGTCTTTTCGAGGGATAACAATCTGCTCTATCACCCTCTCGGATATGTGTTATTTAATTTATTATACTAAATGTTCTGTTATTACTGTCTATAAAATTTCAAATTCAAAGTAATATGACTATGACGTCTTGTACATACCAACCATCCTTATTTAATAAAGCGCATACTTGATGAAGCATCTCCGTGAAGGGTAATAGAGTATTTGCCATAGGATAGAGTATATTATCTCCCTCGTATCAACCAATCAAAATATGTCATTTGACATGAAGTATAACATGAAGTATAATAATATCTATTAATCTTTCTTGAAATTGTGTTTCAGTCCCTGAAGTACATGTAACTGAACAAATGCATTATTATCTTCATTTACACCAAAAATCATTCACACAAGTGTATGCATTTCTTGCAAGTGATTACTTTTCTAACTGAAAATTTTAATGTGATGAAACCCTAATTGATCTGGCAGAGCATCAGTCAATCTCAAGTGAAGTCACTGAAGTCCAGGTGTTGCAATAGTGATTTTTCACATCAAACAAATTTACAAAATTAGCTCTTGATGATGAATAGTTGCATGAAAAACATTTAACATCAAGGGGCAAATATTACCTGCATTATCAGGACATAACATCATGAACATGTTAATGTAATATGATTTTGAATCCGGGTTTGTAATTGAACGACTTTTAAGGTGCTACTTCATAAGGTAACATTCTGCAGATAGGCATGTCACCCTGTAACCAGGAAACATTACATGTATTCTGACTTTGAGCTGACAAATCTTTGCTGTTTCTCCTAAATTTTGTGTGCTTTGCGAAGAAGCAGCAAATACAAGTTTTGAAGGCTTTGGTTTGATCCAGCCAAGGACAAAACCAGCAACCACCTACACTTGAGTTAAGCACACTGTCATGAGACCACTGATTGAGTCAGTTACATCAAAGTTCATTATCTAATCATTCGAAACCAACACACAAGGCTCACCTTTGCTCCTTTTTCCAGATACATTTGAACAAGCTTCTTATATACATTTGTAGTCATGATTTTATTGATTTCTGATGTTTCATTGAACTTGTTTTCATCGATAGTAAATTAAATTACAAAAAAAAATATTCAATCTTGTGTGGAAAACAATAGTTCAGTAGTATAAACTTGTCATATTCAGTCCTTAAAAATGACAGCCAGACATCAGACCAATCTCTGACTAGTCATTTTATTCTTAATTAACTCAGATTATAAACTTTCAACAGTATTCTTAAACTCTGTGTAAAACATGGATGATTTCTGTTATACTCAAACTTCCTTTTCCAGTTACATGAAGGAGGCAAAACTTGCTAAACTTTACAACACCTCATTTTATTGTCCAACTGTAGAATTTGCTCAAAAAATTCAGTAAGAGTCATTACTCCTGAATTTAACCTTCAATACATGTATTGAAGGTTAAATTCAGGAGTAATGACTCCTGACATGTAAATGTTATCATGCCATTACTCTAGTAAAATGATTATCTGTCAAGTGGATCCTGATTTATCAAGGATTCATAAGAACATTATGAAAACTGTAACCTATCTATACAAGATACATGTAATAGGTCAGAAAAACTATGGAACTAGTACAATAGCCTTGGTTTTGTGTAAATACATGTACTTTTGAATATTTGTTACCACTTAAATTCTTTAAAAGGAAGTACATGTAGTTCAAGATTAGCAAGGTTAGAAAACAAGATGTCAGTGAACTCTACCAAACTACAGTTTGATCTTGACTGACAATTTTGTTTGTCATACATGTATAAGGTTATGCAAAAACTTCAATTTATAAGAGAAAACAAAATTTAAAAAAAATTCTCACTTGACTATTGCATGGATGCTGTGTTTAAAGACCTCTTTATGTTTTATGGCAGCTTTTTCTACATTACTGACCATATATGTATCCTTCATTCTATTCAGTAAAAGGCTACATGTGTATGTCTTAAAATGAATGAAACAGGTACATTTTTTATTCTGAACAGGTGTCAGAATAAAAATGTTGTGTCAAACTTGCTGTGTACATGTAGCAGTGACTGTCGGAGTAAAGACTCAAGGATACCAAACTTCTTCATTCACAAACAAAATGGTCCATGAAATGCTTTTACATTTTTATCTTCAAGTCATAATACTGAATTTTCCCATTAGCATGATTGGAAGTTGCAGTCAATAAACACCAATGGCGTACAAAACATTTCCAATTTCCTAATGTCTGTGGTGGGCAGGCAAAGTTGGAAAGGATCTTTTAAAAATACAAATGTAATTGCCCAATAATAAAGTTTTACATTCCCTTATGAAAAGTACAATAAATCAAATTGACTAACCAAGTCACCTTCCACAAGCTATTACTAAATGACAAAGACTCTTTTGACACATCAGAAATCAGGGTTCACGCTTAAAATTTTTGGATGAGTTCAGGGACTAAGAGTTAGTCTGAAGTTACAAATGTATGTAAGGAAACAATATGAGCCTGATGAATCTATCTTTGCAATACAAATTACAGTGTTAATGTACTTACCTGAATTTCTGCTATCAATTCGCTGAAAAATTCCCGCACATCTTCAAAAGGACACTGATATGCCAATCTAACAAAGTCTGGTAAATGTTCCTTCAGTAGAGGATGAGAACCATTTTTCTGTCCATTGCTCATAGATATACCGTTTTTCTGACGATTGCACATAGATATACTGTTTACAGGGCTACCATATCCTTCAATCCACGAGTCTGTCAGTTTGGATATCATGTTAAGACCCTGCTTTCGTATAGACTCATTCCGTGTAGATAAACAATGAACAAGACGAAGAGAATCCTCATCTCTAACTCCACTTGCCATGGATGTATCTATAAATAGAAACAAAACATACCAATAAAAGCTCAATAACTATCAACTTGGTTCTTTACGAGTCATGCATTAGACATCAGCAGTGATATTAAAAAAAAAATAAAGAAGAATACAAGATTATTGGTTTTAAATTAACTAACTACATTCTATTTTCTATCTAAATTTTCTTATGGTAATTCAAAGTGCAGTTTCATGCCGAATTTGTTGGCCTGTTATTAATAAATTTGAATGATAAACAATAAATTTATATGACAGACTGTACACACAAGATAATTCAGATACAAATCACTCTTGCTGCCATTAAGTGATTCACTGTAAAACATGGTAACTAGAGGTTACACTCAGATGTTGGTCTATATCAAATCATCTTAGAATACAAACAATGATATCCAGAGAGATATTTTCAAAGTGAATTACAAACAACAGCCATCATTCGCTGTGGACATCCAACACCAAAAGTCTTAAACTAAATCACCTTGTGTGTACAAATATTATGTAGTGAGTTATATTGAATAACATCTGATTTCATTTTTATTGAAAATTTTGACCTCATTTTACATGTAAATAATTTAAAAACATCTGAAGCTAAAATCAAATGTACAATTCACGACATTGTAAACTTTACGTCACGATTCTATCTAAATATAGAAACATTGTTATGATGCTGTATTTGGTAAGTTTAGATTGTGACGTAAAAATTATTATGTGTAATATATTTTGTGTTACATAATACATATATTTGTTTGTAAATTTTTAATATAAATATTGCATACATGCCTACGCATGAGTTCTAGAAGGGAGACCCTCTTTATTTCTAAATATCTCTTTTTGGACATGTCCCCTGCAAGCGAAATCAAAATCTCTGTCTTTGACAAAAAAATACACTCTTTTTTCACACCCTTTCTTCAATTTGTTGTTTTAATAGCATTTTCTGTGATTGTTTTTAACTGTATTGCAAAAACAAAATTTTCATTAAAAAAGATGACATCACACATAATCTCAAAACTTAGTGGAATCTGGAAAGAGGGAGAATTCCCACTTGGAACCTCCAAAAGGTTGGCAAGTATGTTATTAAAATATATAGCATTTGTTACTTATCAATATAGACCAGATGATGAGTCAATAACAAGAGTGAACACGTTGAAATGTCTCATCTGCTTTACTGATCAGAATTGATTTTCTGTTGAGTCTTTATAATAAGTTTTTACTACAGGTATCACATAAACTTTACATTATTAATGACCCATGTGCCTGAGGTCAAGGCCAGATGCACCCTTCTCAACATACATTCCATACACCAAATATACATTTGTAGTTCATTTTTTGCTCATTTTTGCTCATAGTATCTGAGAAACTGACTTAACCACAACATTAACATTTACTTGAGTATCATTGCATGAAATCTTCTCAAGTACAGACATCAATATTTATAAATTTCAAGGCTTCAGGAATCTTAAAATATGCAAGATCTAATACAAACAAGCATTCAGAGAGTATTGCATGGATAGTCCCCTACCGGTTAAAAAATCATTATACTGGAACAAAATGCAAACTTGATCTATAACTTGTCATGATGTAAACTATATAACAAATATCAAATAAATATCTTAAAGCATGATGACAAAAAGTGTGGAAAACTGATTATTTGCATGAATTTTCGAAGTCTAAGGACCATAACTCTGCACAAAATCATCAGACTGGAACAAAATTCAAACTTGATCTGTAACTGGTCATGATAAAACTATATACCAAATATCAAATCAATATCTTAATGCACGAAGAAAAAAGTGTGGAAAACTGGTTTGCCAGACTGACGGAAGGACAGACAGACAGACACAGATGGAGTGAGTGCAAACCTAAAGTCCCCTTCGACTTCGTTGGTAGAGGAATAAAAAATAGAATGTACAATATTAAAGGACTACACAGTTGTCAAGTATAACTTTAAATCCAGTTAGCCCTATAAAATATAATGAGTAACAGACCTAGCGTCAGATGAACGATGATATGTGTGCCCATTCATTAATATGACATTTTTACATTTGGTGAATAGGGTGTGTGGTTATGTTAGAGAGTAGGGTGAGGGAATATAACCACCATTTGTCTTACATGTATGTATCTATCATGAGAGCTGCATCTTGATATGAAAACTAGATCTTCATGATAATTAAACCCCCTAGTATGCGGTATACAACAATATAATATAATCATGCACTATCTTCAAAGGCCTTATCACTATTTCAAAAATATGCAACTGTTGAACGAGATTTTGGGACACTTCAACAATTGACATCATAAAACATTCACTTTTGCATTGTTGAGTCTGACAATTTCTCTTATGACATCAAAATTATGAAAACTTAAGTCACTTACATTAATGGCAGGTAAATAGCAATAAGGTGTATCTTTCCTTAACTTACACACTGATACATCTTTACAGAAGAGAGGAATCTACGATGTACTGGTACACTAAATGTACAGATTTATGTACTGGTAGATACCGGTGTTATTCAGAGCACCCTTTAAGAACTGCAATGGTAAAGTGGTATCTATGTAGTACAGTACACTACCTATCACAATTAGTCGGAGATGTGTCACTAACATATCCACCATCGAGGACAATTCCCAACCCAACACCAAGGGAGTGGTACGACACCTGGAATTCTGTTATTATGGTGGAGGAATCTTGAGTACTCATGTGTAGTAACCAACGGGCAACTCGGCAGGAACAGACAAACTGAAGATTGATCTCCTGGTCAAAGTCGGAGGCCGCTTTGACACAGCTGGGTAGGCCCCCAAAGTAATGTACCGGTATGTGGAGAGGTTGATAATGATAGGGCCATTGCACACCTGTGAAAATGATTTGGTCAAATTAGTGATAGTTTTACTGTTTACTGTTTGCTGTCGTTTCATCCGATAATGTCCACATACAATTGAAAGACGTATCTTTTTTTCACAATCTACATAAATCAGCTGATCCTTATGCCGGATGTCATGACATCTTCTGCAAGGGGTTTTCCGTTCAGTACACCCGTTGGAGTCGATATCTGAAGGTAATTCCTGTCAAATAATGTTTTGTGTAACTTACCTTTGTCATTTGTTAGAAAATATAGCTAATTTTAATGATTTACACGGGAATTTTCTCTATAAATGATAACTTGCTACCAAAACGTCCATGATGAAATTCATCGGCGTGACTTTTTACCCCAATATACCCCAATATACCCCAACATACCCCAATATACCTCAAAAAGCAGTTTAAACATAATTTGGTTGAATAACAATGTTACACTAGGCATTTAAATGTTATTTTAACGACATTAATACTTTATTTTATGAATATATTTAATTTTAAATAACTTTTTTCCTCGTAACTTGTTCTGTTCATGTCAGCCGCTTACGATCACAAAATGACTTTTTACCCCAATATACCCAAATATACTCGAATAAACAGTTTCAACACAATTTCCACGATAAGGAATGATATAACAAGCAGATATATTAAAATTGAACACAACTGTTTACATTTTTTGTGCATTTAGAGGCTTTTAAACTGTTACACGGGTTCTTTATTCATGTATTGACGAAGGTTACACTAAAAACCCGAACGAACGAACCTAACAATATACCGGTAAATTTTTGCAATTTCTTTTTTCTCCCTTAAAATTTTGAGATTGTAAATGCATTTTGTGTTTTGTTTTCTATATGATGTTTTTTTCTAAAATAAAACTCGAAATTTTTTCTCAAATGTGGAAATATTTTCTCAAATATTTGTTTTCTTTGAAAATAATATATAATCCTTATATGTTAAACATTTAAAGTTTTCTTTTTATGTTTATAAAATGTTTGTATCTTTCACTCAGTTAGGACATTGGTCAGCGGAAATTCTATGTTGGTCAGGTCGGTGTGTTCACGCTTCTCGGACCAACATCTGAAATTGTTTGTCATGCCAAGAAATCCTTGCTCAAAACTCCGATGCCGTCCCTCCTACGGCATCCATTACTAGTTAAAGATTAAATAGAAAAATATAAACCTTTCAAATTTAGCGTTTATAAAATAAAAATATTCCCTGTGGAACACCCCCAACCCCCTTTTTTGCGCTCTCTATTTTCAACCCTCGAATTAAGCTTTCCAATCTAATTAATTTAAAAATTAAAACCTAGCTTTCTAACCGATCTATTCGTGTACCGTACCGGCAACTCTCGTTATTTTATGAGAAAATCTACAATGCCGTTATACACATGCGTGTTGTCTGCTTGGAGTCTCCGCACAGGCACTTGACTCAGAATAAATACCGAATATGGAAAGTGGAACTACAATTCAAAACATAAAGTCCGAAGGCACATAGAAGAAATTTTTTTTTTTTTTTTGCAAAGGATGCCGTGGTAACCCTCCATGTGTTCAAAATATACATGAAATATCATGACCCCGAGTTTTCGATCTGTTACATGCCAAGAAATCCTTGCTCAAAACTCCAGTGGTCCTCCTACGGCACCCATTTGTAGATTTGATTTTATTCAACAAAATAATGTATGTCCTGCATGTACGTATCGCTTTGAACACGGACGTATGCCTATACCAAATGGTCAATATTAATCATCCATGTAATTTGCTCTATGGTAATTTTTTAGCTTGTAAAGGTAAAAAATCCATGTCGGAGAAAGGTGGGTTTTTTTTGTCCAAGAGATTAATGAAATTTACCGGTAAATGGAGTTACAGTGAATCCAATTCAATTTAACAATGGTGGGTTGAACCTGGTTTTATGGCAAGCCAAATCTCTCTCTTATAGGCAATGTTAGAAATACCGCTAAATTGACAATAAAATTTGTATTTATGGCGAAATAATACACTATAAAATCTTGAAATTACTGAGGCAAAGGGTTTTTTTTTAATTGCGAACATATCAAAAGTATTATGCAGAAAAAAAATCGGCACTTTACAATCTTTAATTAAGCACAAAAAAATTTATCAATAAAAAAAAGAGTGCACTCAAATATCTTGGCTGCTTTATTTATCATGATTGAAGAATGTTGAAAATCTGTAATATATCTTGATTGCTGTTTCATTGAATATCTCACATCTACTTTATTAATATTCAGAATGCTTTAAAATTGTTTTTAAAATCAGGAAAAGAAACTTGAATTGTGTCTTGTGTCTTACTAATCGTTGACTGAGGAAGAAAAAAAATGAAGACACATATTTGCTAATTCAATCTTTATATTTCTGTGCTCTATGACGGGTACGTCATAAGTATAGGAGATATCGATATGGCGAGGAGTGAATTAATCGGGTTATAAAAAATTGGTGGTTTTTTTTTCGAATGATTTTGATTTTTTTTCTAAAATAAAATTTTCTATACAAATTCGCATTTTTGCTATTACAAAGGTATATATAGCTATTCTATAAGAATTAAACAACTTGAATGATACAATTGTCCGAGGAAAATGCTTTTGATGTTCTGTTAAAAGAGGAGAAAGTTTAAGATATCCAGGGGACTCCACAAGATTTGAGAAAGAAAATCGTTTTTCCAATTTTTAATCATATAAATTTACATACTCTTAAATAACTAGTTTCTAATTGAAACAGTGTACTTGTCGGATTTCCTATCAGAGAACAGAATTAATCATCATTCTATAGAGAAACACTAAAGGAGGTTAACTTCACTATCTATTTGTATGTAAAAAATATTTGTACTTAGAAATAATTTCATTCCGATATATAAAACAGCAGAAAACCAAACGAAACAAAACTAAGTACATGTATAGATGTATAATCTATGGTACATGATATGAGCGAATGTAGGACAGAAAGTCACAGGACAAAAAGTCACAGACAAAAAGTCACGGACAAAAAGTCACAGGACAAAAAGTCACAATTCAGTTTTGAGATTATTTTTCTTTAAACAAGAAAACACTAATTTAAAAAATTAAATTTTATTTTTTTCTTGAACTATTATATTTGAAGCAACTTTGTAATTAGAATTTATTCAATAAATATCAATAATGATCAAATAATTGTTATGAAAACAGTATGTCAAAGTGGCTTGGTACTTAAATGGCTTCATTGTGCCAAGAAATATATCCTTTGCATGATTAAAATTTAATAAATTTTCATTTATCAAGGCTTAAATTTCTTAAACCTAAAAACTTAAACTTAAACTTTTTGTCCTGTGACTTTTTGTCCTATCAAATTTGTGACTTTATGTCCTTAGACTTTTTGTCCTGTGACTTTCTGTCCGTTTACCGATATCAGCATGTGATTTACAGCTATATTTCAATGTTTTTAAAAGAAAAAAGCAATTTATTGTAGTCTCATTATAATAGTGTTTACCTGCTACTTAGCATTATGATAATTGTTATGTTATCTGTTTTATTTGTTGCTGTTGTTATTCGTATAGTATGTTTCTTTTTGTCAGAATTGCAATATGGTATTTTATGTTCTTGCATACTATAGAGACGTTAATCAAGTTTCTTGTTTTAAATTCTGATAGGTCGAGTTATCATCAGACTTCAAAATGTTGAATTAGTTGAATTGTACTGCTAATTGTAATTTTAAACTTAGTGATGTGCAATTTGATAAGTTATTCAATAGATTACACTCGTGTCACAGGATATCGATGTATACCCTAGGTGGTCATTCAGGTTCAATAAACAATGACAGGATGTTGTTGATTAATTCATCTGTTGAAACAACAGACCAATCCGCATTATTTTCCAGGACTCACACGCAGTACTAGTTATCTCTCATACCTCAAAATACAGAACGCATCAGCTCAATCAACATTGTGAGGGTCTTGATGGGGTTTATAGAATCAATGAATAGTATATTTCAATGTGAAAATAAATTTTGAAAAATGAATTTGACTCTGTTTTCCTCTTTGTTTCTATCATTTATCATATATTTTGTTCTCCATAATCACAAAAACGCACTACCCTTAAAGTATTAATAACATGGAACAATTCAGAAACAACTCAAAAACATCGTTGAACATGTATAATTAAATCTATTTTATTCAAAACACTGTTCTCATAACATTATAGTCATAAGCAATAAGGATAATCCAATCAATTTTGTTGATTGTATAATTCACGGCTGAGTAGTTGTGTAATCGTTGACACGTGCCCGCATTATTTTATGAAAATAACGAATATCTCTCGAAGAGCGCATTTCTTTCTTACACAAACGATACAAGCACACGTTTAGATCATTTGTTTCTAACATACGTTTGCAAAGTTTGCATAAACTTTGACAAACTATACACTCGCTGCAAATGCGTCTATAGTTTGTCGTTCGTCGTTTGTTAGTACCAGAGACATATAATACATATGTATGTATTATATGTCTCTGTTAGTACAAACGATGAATTTCTTTCTAACTTAAACATTTAATCAATACCTAAACATATTTTTCGCACTAAAAAAGATGTATGTTCTTGCTTGTCATAACTCAAAACAATGTCTAAAATTACTAAAATTTAGGTATTACCATCCTTTCTTTCATTTCTGTTATCTTCAATAAAAAGGCTTATCATCACTATCTTCATACATTTATCTGATGAAGATGAAGAACTGCCAAAAAAATTAAATATGCATAGAGGAGCGATGTCCTCTGTGTCTATAACATCTTATACGGAGGCTATTTTCCCCGCGTAATAAGTTCAAATACCAACAACATGTGAATGCTTTTTCAGTTCAAACAGGGTCAGTAAACACTGATTAAACGATGCATTTGTTTCTACTTTTGTAACGTTTAACAAACTATAACAAACGGCACACAACGTTTACCAAACTTTGGTTAGAAAGAAATGCACACTAAGTTCGTTTTTAAAATCTATAAAATTACCTCAGGGACTCGGTTTGCAGATTAAAATTTTGTTTATTTTTGTTTTTTAAATCTTTTTTTCGTATTTCCTGTCTATTTGAATTACATTACTCACGTTTTTAACGTTGGCATCAATATTTCTTTGTTTTCTAGCAATGTGCAGTTTACTATCCATATTCGTATACTGAAAAATCCTAGGAAATATTGTAAGATCTTTCTCTTATATATTCGAACAATTGTCAACACATTATTTGTGACTTTATGTCCTGTGACTTTCTGTCCGTTTACCAATGAGCATATGTAATTTTTTATGGAAACATATTGGCTATCAAAATAATTTTGTTTTTACTAAGTATTAAATCAATTTA